CGTCACATAGGCTGGATTCGAAGATCCCACACTTCCTGCCTACTTCAGAACACTAATTTAGAGCTATGTGAGCCTGTGCGTGTCTCCCTACGTGCAATTGCTAAGGCCCTCAAATAAAGCCCTTTTTACTTCCGCAAAAAAAATTTTTTTGCAAAATTTGAGGTTTAGCTTCTACTGAATGTGTACCACTTTCACATCTCATAAAGGTTGAATATTGTAAGTCCCTGAAAGTAGTCTTAGCATCTGCGTTAAAAGTGGATTGAGAGTTAGACTACCTGAGTTCAAATCCTGGCTCTACTACTTACTAGCTGTGTGGCCTTTGGTCAAGAACTGAATGTCGCTGTTGTCAGTTTCTACCTTGGTAAAGACTGTAACAACCCACTTAATAGAGTTTCTGAAGATTGAAAGAATTATAGCACACAGTGCACTTAGGACACGCATAGTGACATTTATAATTGTCCTCACCAATCAGGGAGCAAAGCTTAATAACAGGGAATGAAACCATTGTGGAGGTTGTGCCTGCAAACTGTGCAAGAAATTTTGCTTCTTAAAAATTCTTAATTTTCTGAACATGCTGACATGTACTTTCCTTTCCACATTTCCAAAGGCAAGATCACCCTAAACCAAGTTGGGAAATCTTTGGAAGACAGATTCACTGTTCTGGAAACATCTACGGCCACAGAGTCACTTCTGAATTCCCAAGGTACCAGCGCAAGGTCACTCAGACAAATCGTTCAGACTCTGTGGGCCACACAGTCGCTGTGGCAACTGGGCGATTCTGCAGTTGTAGCGGAAAGGCCAATGGGGGAGCAGGGATGGGCGTGGCTGTGTTTCCAGGAACCTGGACACCAAAAGGGGCCCCCTTAGAAAGTGAGGTGTGGAGAAGCTGAAGAGGACTAAGAAGTGGAGACACAGGCGCTCCCTGCCTACTCCCATCAGCCCCAAGCAGGACACAGGTGTGCAGACAGAAGACAGTTGCAGAGCCTGCTCGGACTGGACTAGATGGAGAAGGTAGAACCATGGTCACCATCTGGATTCCCTTTCTCCTTCTCAGAGCATCTGAAGATCAAGTTACCTCCTTTCCCTTTTTCATTTCCCCTTCCAAAATGACAGTACCATAATTCCCATTCCCCTCTGTTTCCCCCAATAATAGCAAAGAATGTGGATGTTCTATGTCAGCATCAGCAGGGAGCCTGCTAAACTTTAGGCTCTATGTGTAGAGAGCCTAAGAGACAGGCTAGAAGATGAGATGCAGACAGAATTTGAGGAGAAACAGGCCTTACCCGGAGACTGAGGACTCAGAAGACCGGATCGCAGTCACCGCCTCTGGTGGCTGCGTGTGACACCAGAGGCCCCCCACTGGGGAAAGAGTGCACTTACACCCGCATGTTGGGTAATCAGAGCAGGCTCCATGAGGGCACCCTTGGGAACACGGGAAAGCCGCATGTGTGCATGTGCCGGACAGCGGAGGAGGGCGCTCCTCTTGTCCTGGACCTTCCTACCCTGCTCACCATGTTCTTGGTCACTCTGCCTCTGTTACCTGACCTTGTACCTCCTCTCAGTCCCTCACCCAGCCCCAAGTGCCTCAGAGATTCCCCCCAGGCGACTCAGACATCCTGTAGGGAGGAGTTTAGAACAGCACCCAGAGAGGCACAGAGACTGAGAACTTTCTGCATCAAAAGATCCACACATTCTTGTTGCTGGAGCTCCAGGGCCAGTGGGTTCCTTCCCTTCCCAAGACCTGAGTTTTCAGCTCTTTTAAAAAATTCCATAAATACCCCCTGAATCTTTCCAATAAATGTCCTTCTTGTTCAAAAAGAATTAGGGTCAAGAGCGAAATTGGATGATGAGATGAAGTAAGTGTAAAGGATCCTGAGAGCCTTTTGCAGAAGTTCGGGTCAAAGACTTCGAGGAGGCAGTGCAGACAGAAAAACTGGGCTGTTGTGTGGCTAGTGTCCACTCCAGGCAAAAACAGACCAGCTGATGAGAAGTACAGCTATTTCTGGTATCAGGACCAGACAGGAAGTCCCTCCCAGGAGCCCAGGCAAGGAACAGTGTCTTTGTGACATCCACATCTTTGTGATATCCCCGCGATGGACACAGTAGGTGTCATGACCTCCATCCTGGCTGACAGATCACTCTCATGCTTGGTTTTGTGAAATCAGTTTTCAGGCAGTAGGGAGCAGTATGTTGTCTGGTTCTTTGATCCAGAAATAGATTTTCAAGCTTTAGGAATGCATGTAAGGTGTCTACTGTATTAGTCAGCTTTCCCATTGTTGGAACATAATATGCAACACTCACAACTTAAAAAAGAGGACAGATTTAATTTGGCTCATGGTTTCAGGGGATTCAGTACATGGTCTGCTGACCCAAAGGGTGAAACATCATGGTGGAAGAGCGTGATGGAGCAAAGCTGCTTAGTTCATGATAGCCAGGAAGCAGAGCAGGGGAGAGTGCCAGAGAGAAAGGAGTGAAAGTCCAGATACAGACCCCAAGGTTACACTTCCATGACCCACCTAGACACACCCAGAAATGTGCTCTTCTAATCCCCAGGGCAGCTTCCAAGCCAATCAAGTTGACACAATCAAGCTTAACCACCACGACTACCCTCCAAGCCAGTGTCACACCAGGCACAACTGTAAAGCCAAATGGAAGGAGTGTAGGGTGATCCGCCCAGTGGAGGACTCAAGAGTGGTGGTACCACATGTTCCACCTGGATGCAGAGCTGGACCCTGCAGGGCTGGCCAGGCTGAAAGCTGGATTCTATGCTTCAAGGACAAGAAAATGAACAGCTGCCTGGGGGCTCAGGCTTGCTCTGGTCTGAACATCAAGAAGCAGAGAGCTTCTCTAAAGAAACTGGGCTCTAAGGACCAGTGCTGGGATTTTGTGGAGGGTTCCTGGCAGTGCAGGCCCCCATAGAGGAAGGGGCCATGGCCATCTTTCAGCAGGGCACTCAAGCCAAGTCCTGCAAGGCTGCAGCACCTCATGTGAGACTTGGGAGCCACCTTGGTAAGAGCCCGTGCCTCTTCAGCTGAGCCTAGCACCCTGCCCAGGTCACAAGGAAACATCCACTCTGCTCATCTCCCCAGGATCCCCCACACAAATCCTCCACATCCCTAACTGTAGATCAGCCTTTCCCATACACACTATGTACCAGGGTGGATAGGACACCCCAAACGTGTGCCCTTCCCAGAACCTTGCAATGTGCCTGTTTATGGAAACAGGGTAATTTCAGATGTATTTAATGTACTGGAGCAGGGCAGGCCCTTAATCCAACCAACACAATCTCCTCAAAAGAAGACAGAGACACTACCAGCCAGCAACCCCAGGCCCTTCTTCCCTCCCACCTTCAGTGGGGTGTGTCCCTGCCTGAACCTCCGTCTTACACTTCTGGCCTGGACTGTGACCCTATACCTTCTAAGCACCTCAGTTTGTGAGGCTTTGTTATGGTAGACCTGGGAAGAGGACACAACCCAGTCCTGTTGTAGCTGATATAGGCCTGATACCACCTGACAAGAAACAGCCCCCTCCAGCCCCCATGAGGGCCTGGTCTGCTGTTCCCTCCACTTAGAGGAGGCTCAGGACAAACTACAGCCAGCCTTCTGTATATTCGGGTTCCACGTCCATGGAGTCAACCAACTACAGATCCAAAATTCTGTCTTTAAATTGTGTCTGTACTGAGCATGTGCAGCTTTTTTTCTTGTCATTATTCCCTAAACAATGCTCTATAAAGAAAATGTACACAGCACTGACATTGCATTAAGCATTGTAAGTAACCTGGAGATGATTTAAAGCATTCGGGCAGAGAGTAAAGGTTACCTGCAAACACTACATGAGTGTATGCAAGGGGCTGGAGCACTCTCAGATCATGCTATCTTCAGCGGGTCCTGGGACCAATCTCCATGGAAACTGAGGACCACTGTGTCTGAGAATCTGGAGTTGCTAGCCAGGAACTGGGGGATGCTCTAGAGCATCACCGCTTCAGTGCTGCAACATTCTGCTGCCTACCAGGCTCTATATGTGGCGCTCCCAACAATGTCCCTGGGAACGTCCACTCCAGGGACCACTGTGCCACACTAGCAAGCATCAGTCCCAAGACTTTGTGTCTTGACACCTGGGTTCATGAAGAGGCAAGAGTGTTGTCATACTGGGGAGATGGTGTGAGGGGACTAGAAACCAAGTAAAGAGAAGAGGAGGAAGCCTCTCCTCCCCTTCCTTATAGCTCGGGAAAACTGCAAGTCCTCCCTGCTGAACCCCGCCCTGCAGATCATGGATCGCTCCCCACACAGGTCCTGGAGAGAGAGAATACCCAGACTGCTGATCTCAAGGGCAAGTTCATTTTGCATTCACCATCTTCCCTAACGCAAATGATTCAAGTCAGCAGAAAGAACCAGGAAAAGGAGACACAGGAAACAAGGAGACAAGCTCCACCCACTTCGGTTGGCTGGTGCCTTTCATAGTATGATCAACAGTACTCAGGGGAGAGCATTTTTATCTCCACATCACAAATAGTCAGGAACCCACAGGACTCTCTCTCAAGTATACACATTTCCTTCCATTTCTCCAGCAAATCAATCCCAGCATCCAGTCCCTGCTACCCAGAACCCCCAAAAGAAAAGTTAGGACCTGCCAAAAGCAAATACAAAGCCCCCCAAATACCAAACCAAGCCAAGGGTGGGAGTGGGAGGTGTAGGAAGCCAGCCCTGCACTGGTTTCCAGAGTCGGCAGGAGGCAAATGCCTGTCCTTACAAGTCAGACTGTGAGCCCTGGATATTTCCAGTGGACCCCGTAGAGCTCATCGTACTGGAAGGACCCAAAGTGACAGGAGGAAACTGCTGTTCGGAGAGGGATCTGCTCTGGGGTGGCAAACACGTACACACTGATTACCGAGTCACCGACAGCCACCCGGCAGGTGGCTCTGGCCCCACCTGGCCAAGTGGCTCTAGAGAAGATCCCCAGCAACCTGGCACCCACCTGAAACCATAGCATCAGTGTCTTACTTTTTCTGGAGCGGGAGAAGAACCTGATGCCCCCGGGCGAGGTAGATGGGTTGGAGTTGGGGGAAGACTCTTTGGATGAGGAGCGGAAGATCCCGCTGAAGCTCATGCGTCGCGGTGAGCGTGGCGGGGACTCCTGGTAGGAGAACGGGAACACGGTTTTGGGAGAGCCCGGGCTGGTCTTGGGTCTCACGGGAGCAGACATGGGGCTGGAGGGCCGGGCCTGGGGGCCTCTGGAGAAGAGCCCTCTGGAGGGGCTGCCCGAGCCGAGGGGGCTGTCCATCTGCAGAAAGACAAAAGTAGGGTCGTAGCGCTCCAGAGACGCTGATCTCTCCCCTATCTTTGAGGTGACATCATCGTCCTCTCATTGAGCAGCTGAGAAACAGCCCTGAGCTCTTCCACAGAGGTAACCACGGACCATCAAGGTTAGCATCTGCCCCAAGGACAGCCTGCCCATCCTGCCCATCTCTCAGGAAGGGCTTCCAGGAAGCAGAGGAGAGGAAGGGAAGAAGGGAGGGGAGAGAGGCACAAATTGATGCAGCTCTCTCAGGTGACTCTGTAGCTCATTTGTCCTTCTCTAGGTCTGATTACACAGGATTATGGTTCTTTTGTTCCCCAGCCCCCAGGAGGAAGCACAAATCCCTAGGGTCCAGAACAAAGTGGGCCTGGGGCTCTATCCTGAGGGCCTCTGCTACTAGACGATTATCATTTTCTTTTTCCTGGCTAGGGATTGAACCCAAGGCCTCAAGCATGCTAGGCTACACCTGAGCCACAGCCCCAGCCCCACGCTGCTGTGCACATACCTAGAAGAGCTCAGGAAGAAAGCCAACAGGGCCCAGACTCTACAGACTTGCTTCACTGATAGTTGCACATTGTAATTATATGGTTTGTAAATGGTCAGACCCCAAAACGTTGAGCTGAGGCACACAGCTGACAGCCTATGAGGCCGATCCCACATCCCTGCAGTGTAGGCTCAGGAGGTTGCACCCAAAGCCCAGGTGCGCCAGCCCCAGCCCCAGCCTTTGCTATGTGACCTGGATGTGTTCCACAGGCTTGCTGCCTCAGTTTCCTCCTCTGTAAAATGAGGACAGTGCATGCTTGGCCTGTAGGGTTGTTCGAATGCCAACTGAGAGCTCACGTATGAACGTTGGCACAGGGTGTAATTTGCAGTCATCATGCAATGTATTATGTTAATCTGTGACCATCTTAGGACATCAGGGACTCCTCAGTTTTGCAGGGGGAAAGGAAAGTAGCCGTTCACAGAGAATATTAAGGCAAGAGTGAACCCTGGGAATGCTGCACTCCGGGGACCAGAACTGAGCTTCAAAGGTGGCCCTGTCCAGATCTTGTGTACAGCCCTTACTTGGCCCCTGTGAATTCTCCCACCACTAGAGGGCACCCCAAACCCCAAGCTTGCTCAGTTCTGGACTGGCTGGATGCCCTTGGCAGGGGTGACACCTTCAGGGACCACCAACCTCCCCTGTGAATTTTCTACCTGACCCTAAAGAACCAGTGTGGCCACATGAGGTTGGGGCCAGCTCGGCACCAGCCCTTTCCAGCAGCTCTGGAAATAGGCTACCAGAACCATATAACCCAAGCCTGCCTTGCTGTAGAGAAGTCTAATCTTTTCTTTTTATGTTCATTTAACATGAATGAGGTAAGAGACAGAGCAAGGAGAAGTAAATAACCGAGAGCTGTCAGACAAGAATCAAGAAACCAGACAGAGCAAGGTCAAGTATGTCAAAATACCAGAAGATAAAGGGCATCCCGTCCATTTACCAATAGATAAAGGTCATCCTGACCCCCAAGTCCCCCAAGCATTCGCAAACCCAAAAGTCCAGGACCTTGGCCTTCATCCAACCTCATTTGCACTGCAGTTTTGACCCCCACAGTGGGCTTTGGGCGCCATGATACTTCTAAAAACCTTGCATAGTCAAAACGTCCCCTTCCTGCTGGGCAGGCCAAGTCAGGTACTACACCAGGGCATGACTCCTGTTGGTCCCCAGCTATAGATCCCCTGTAATCCTAGGACCTCAGGAGATCCAGTACCTGCCTCTATCGGGTGGTGAGCTCTTCTCACTGGCTGCTTCTACTCTGAGGAGTGGATCTTATTTCTGAGTGTCCCACCCAGTCCTTTGGTCAGGACATCAAGAACCTGGAAACACCTCCCCTGAGATTCTGTCTATAGAGTACTCAGTTTAGCCACTATCCCACCTGCCTAGGGGGCTCAGTATAAACTGAAAACCTGAGAAGAGCCACAGAGGAGCCAGAGGTGTACACATGGACAGCATAAAAGAGAATCCCAGGAATGGGGGAGATGAACATTTCCCATCAAGGGCCAGGGATTTAGCTCAGTGGTGCTGCTGCCTGCCTCACAAGAGCAAGGTCCTGAGTTTGAGTCCTGGTACCAAAAAAAAAAAAAAAAGAAAAGGACATTTCCCATCAAGCTGGTGGGATGGAGATGTACTGCTAGATTTACATTAATTTAAGCAAAAGTAAGAACTAGAATTCTATCTGCCTTTGACCTTGAGCTCGCAGCTGCAACTTCCACCCATCTATACTTGTGTGAGTGGAAGGGACTGGAGGACCTTGTGTGGGTGTATCACAAATCCAAAAGGTTCCTGAGGGCAGACACTGTCACAGCTCCTCTGTCAACCTCCTCCTCCGGTTCCCCACTGTCCGCCATCCCTGGGGACGGCAGTGGCTGGGGCACACCCCTCCTTCCCTCCTCCCATAGTGACATGCACACAAGGAGCCAGATGTCAGCAGGATCTGACCCGGGTCCCCTTTCCCGGGCCTGCTCATTTGGAACTGGGGTGCCCACACGCAAGGACAGTTGGTGTGTAATTTGGAAATTATGAGAGGTAGGTGATCACTTCACTCTGCCTACCAAAAATGGGGGTTTGCGTGGCATCTAAATTCGAGGTTCCTGGAATCTGTGGTGGTCCCAGGATGGGGGTACTGTCTGCCCTCCAGTCTTGGCTGGGGTGCAAATGGGTTGGCCTAGGAAACCCCAGGCAGCAAGGTCCATGGGAACCCAGCCGTCCCCCTTTGCTCCCCTGCCCAGACCACAAACACTGTGCAGGGAGGGCCTGCTGCTGGGAGGGAAAGAGTTTCAAGAGAACAGTGCTCTCCGGAGGAGGTGGCATTGCTGGGCCAAGGCACTGGGGAGGCCAGGCTGATCTGCTGATCAGGCAGCCCGCTCCAAGCAAGGCGGGGCAGGCATTGAGCCAGTGGATCTCTGCAGGCCCATGCCAATTTGCTGATTGCACTGTATGTAATTGAACATGTTCAGAGACCAGCTCTGCCTTTTCTAGTGGTGTGAGTCCTCCTCATCCCGGGCCTGTGTGCATCTGCCCCGGCTCCCAGACAGCACCAAGCACTATCCAGCCCTCCCTGCTGCAGGCTCTGTGGGTGGCAGGATGCCCAGCGAGGACTTCCTGCCTGGCCCTCTGCCCCACCTCCACTTCCCGATTGCAGGAGAAGTCCAGCAGGCTGCCTCGACCTCCCCTCCCTGCTGTGGCCACCCCCAGCCCGCACTCCGAGCCCCTGACCCTCCATGGCCAGCAGCCTTGAAGGTGGTGTGTCTTGCTGGAAGAGAAACAGAACAGGGGGAGGGAGAGCACCACTGCAGAGAGGACGGGTCAGTGTGGGAGCTGGCACTGCTGGGGACAGCAGGAATATAGGGGGAAGGTGTCCGGGGCCCCACCTGCCTCTGCTGCCCATAGCAAAGCTCCGGGAAAGGACCTGACCTACCTTACGGGAGGAATGCTTTTCTGAGCTGTCCAGGTCTCCATCGAGGAGTGGCATGGCAAAGGAACTCAGGTCCTGAAAGAGAGAGAGAGAGAGAGGTTCTGTCAGGGACAGTGCCCCCAGGGGTATGCGAGATCCTAAGGGGGTTCACTGCTCCTCCCCGAGCCCTCCGAAGCATCGGCGGGAAGAAAAGTTGTGGACAGCACAGGGGAGAGCGGGAGACTAAGGCCATCTGTCCCCTTCAAAGGTGCTGGCCACCCTCCACATGTCCCAGGATACAGCTGTCATCACCTCCTGCCGCCCTGAGGAAGGGGAGGAAGAAAGGCTGGGGACGGAAGGGACAGAAAGGGAATGGAGGCGGCGGGTGGGGGCGTGGAGGACCCATCTGGGGATGACCCGGGCACCGGCTGAGGGACAGGATCTCAAGAGGGCCCCAAGGAGGTGCCATGTCTCCCCGGAGGATGGCATCAGAGAAATCAGGACAGATGACAGCGGTCAGGGCAGACGGGATGGGGACTGAGGCAGATTGGGAAGAGGACTCATCACACACTCGTCCGTCTACAGGAGGCGCCATTCTGACCCCTGGCCGTGGGCTCCCACGTTCCACACCCGAACCTGGTGAACACCTTCATACCAGGAGCACCTGCCCCCTTCCTTAACCTTTCTACTAATTTCAACATTGTAACTGCAGTAAAATGCACACAACGAAATTCACCACTTAATGCCCCCTGCTTTCTTTGCCCGCCAGGCAAGTGCTCTGCCTCTGAGCCATGCCACGACGCCCAACCATTTTCCAGGGTACAGTTTGGCGGTGTTTAGTACCCTCACATTGCGCCTCCGGCACCACAGCCACTTCTGGAACTTTTCCATCTGCTCCCATTCAACCCTAAATCCCAGCCCTGACCAGCACCCTCTGCTTAGTTTCTGTGGACTGGACAGTGCTAAGGACCTCACATGAGTGTTTGTCCTTCTGTGCCCAGGTGGTGTGACTTAGCACCACAACTTCAAGGTGCATCCATGGGCAAGAATGTCACTTGCGTTACAGCATGGGTCAGAATTGCCTTCCTTCGTAACGCTGGATGCTCTCCCACTGTATGGATAGACTGCATTTTGACTACTCATTCATCAATTGGCAGACACTAGGGTTGCTTCTCCTCTTGTAAATAATGTTGCTGTGGAAATAAATGGTGTGGACTGAGTTGTGCCTCTCCTGCCACCCCCTCACACTCCAAAAACTCTTACTGTTGAAATCCTAGGCCTCAGGGGCTCAGCAAGTGAATGCATATTGAGATGGGGTCCTGGAAGAGGTCACGGGCGGGTGTGTGTGTGTGGGTGTGTGTGTGTGTATCCTAATCTAACTTGATGAGAAGGGATCAGAACACAGACATGCATGGGGACAGCCATGTGAGCACATGGGGGGACAGTGCCATCTACTAGCCAAGAAGAAGAAGGCTCAGGGGAAACCTCCCAGCCAACCTCTGAGCTTAGACTTCCAGCCTACAGATCTGGTATTAAAGTCACCCAGACTTCATTTCGTGATGGCTGCCCTAGTAGCCTAGCAGTATCTCTTCACGACCCTACTTCCAACTCTTTTGAGTGTGTACCCAGAAGTGGAACTGCTGGGCATCACGTCATTCTAGCTTAAATTTTTTTGAGAAATCATTTTACCTTTTTTCACAGCAGCTTAGCCATTCTCCCCTTCCCACTCACAGGGCACAAAGATCTCGATTTCTCCACATCCTTAACACTTGCTGTGCTCTGTGGGTTTTTACGGTAGCCATCTTAGTGGGTGTGAGGTGGCATCTCATTATGATATTCATTTGCATTTTCCTGATGAATAACGATGTGAAGCATTTCATGTACTTCAGTAAAATGTCTATTCAAATCCCTTGCCCATTTTTAATCAGGTTATTCGTTGTCAAGTCGTAGGAATTTTTCATACATGCTGAATCTTAACCCCTTACCAGATATGTGAGTTGCAAACATTTCCTTATTTGTTGGGTTACCCTGTCACTCCACTGACTGTCTTTTGATGTAGGGAAGACTTTGATTTGATAAATTCATCTATTTTTCCTTTTGTTGCCTGCAGTGATGGTGTTGCAATCAAGAAAACATAGCCAAAGCCAATGCCAAAAGGCTTTTCCCTGTGCTTCTTTTTAAAATACACTTGGCCGGGGCCGGGGATTTAGCTCAGTGGTTTCGCCGCCTGCTGCGCAAGTGCAAGGACCCAAGTTCGGTCCCCGGTACCAAAAAAAAAAAAAAAAAAGATTAAAATACACTTGGCCTTGGATTAATTTTGAGTTAGTTCTTGAACATGGTGTGAGGTCAGGGTTCGACTCCATTCCTTCGTATGTGGATATACAATGTTCCCAGCACTGTTTGTTACCAAATCTGCTTTCTCCCCACTGAATGGTCCTGGCGCCCTTGTCAAAAGTCATCTGAACATAAATGTGATGGTTTATTCTGGGCTATCTGTGCAGTTCTGCTGGTTGGTTTTTTTAATGCCAGTACCACACTATTTTTTATTTACTTGTAGCTTTCTTTTTTTGGTACCAGGGATCAAACTCAGGTCCTTGTGCTTTTGAGGCTGGTGGCAGAACCACTGAGCTAAATTCCCGACCTTACTTTTAGCTTTCTAATAAGTCAGAAAGAGACCCTCAACTTCTTTTTTTTTTTCCTCTTTTTCAAGTTTCTTTTTTTTTTTTTTTTGTACCAGGTCTTGCACTCAGGTCCTTGTTGTTTTGAAGCTGGCACTGTGCCACTGTGCTAAATCCCCAGCCGCTTAGACTGCAGGTTCTTATATCAGCTTGTAGCA